GTGGGAGGGAACAATGGCAGTTTTTGTCTTGATTTTGCTCTTTCCTCCCAGACTTGTCTGGTTGTTTCTGATGCTTTTCTGTAGGTCCCCAATGGAAGGTGCTTTAGACTTGTGACAGGCTTTGGGGCCTTGCTCTGGGCCAATCCTGCCTCGGTGGACTTTTACCCACGAGGGGAGGGGTGACTTTAGGTGCTTCATTTAGAAACTATGTTTTTGTCTTTTCTGTATTGTTCACTAATTGTATTAAATTTCCTTCCCACAAAAGTCTTATTTGTGTTGATGCAGTGGATGGCAGAACCCATTCAGAGTAGGCAGGTTTGTGGGGTCTGGAGTGCCCCTCTCCTTGCCTTGGAACACTTCCTGTCACCAACTCTCTCCCTCCGCAGGGCAGCAGCCTCCTGCCTGCCCGTGTCCTGAACCTGCCGGGACTTCTCCTCACTGACCCCCTCAGCAGAGGCCGCTCCCCTCAGGGCCCCCACCTGCTACCTCACACCACGCACAAAAACCAACTCAAAATGGATTAAAGAACTGGACATGACCTGAAACCATAAAATATATAGAAGGGAATAGAGGTGAAACACTACATGACATGCACCTCAGTGACATCTTTAAAGACACATCACCCAAAGCAGTGATAGTGAAGGAAAGGATACACAGCGGGATGACATCAGGTAAAGACCTCTGTACAGTGAAAGAGACATGAATCCAAACAAAGACACAATACACTGATGGGGAGAAAATTTTCGCACACAACAGTAATGATAAGGGACTGATCACAAAAATCTACAAATAGTTGACAAGACTCAACAAAAAAACAGAGTAAATCACCTCGTCAAAAAATGGGCAGAAGAAGGGCCTCCCCAGTGACGCAGCAGTTAAGGGCTGGGTTGCGAAGCTGCCCACAGTCTCTGCAGCACCGGTTCAATCCTTGGCCGCTGGCTGAGGGTCCCACGTGGTGCGCACTCCTCTCCTGCTGCCCTCTGCTCCCCTCAGCAGTGTACTTTGTCACTCTGCCTGTTCTACTCTCCGCTCTGGCTCTGGTGAATTCTCTCACCCTCCCATGCTTCTGACTGTACCCAGTGCTTGTATAAATAAATAAATATTTAAAAAAAAATGGGCAGAGGAGCTAAAAAGAAACGTCTCCAAAGAGGAAATGCAAATGGCCAACAGACATATGAAAAAATGTTCAGCATCACTTGCAATCAGGGAAATGCAAATTAAAACTACAATGAGATACCATCTTACACCAGTGAGAATGGCACATATTAAAAACTAGCAACAGAAAATGCTGGCGAGGATGTGGAGAAAAAGGAACTCTCCTGCACTGCTGGTGGGAGTGCAAACTGGGGCAACCACTACGGAGAGCTGTGTGGAGGTTCCTCAATCTACTGAAAATGGAGTTTCCATATGGCCCAGCAATTCCACTCCTAGGAATCTACCCAAAAGACACAAAAACATTAATTCAAAAGGACACCTGTACCCTATGGTTAATGCAGGAGTATTTATAATAGGGAAAACCTGGAACCAACCCAAATGCCCAAAAATAGATGACTGGATCAAAAAAATATGGTACACACACACACACACACACACACACACACACACACACACATACAATGGAATATTACTCAGCCACCAAAAAGATAAACTCATGCCATTTACAGCAACATGGATGGAGCTGGAAGGGATCATGCTCAGCGAAATAAGCCAGAAAGAAAAAGAAAAACAGGGTCTCCCCAGTGGTGCAGCGGTTCAGCACTGGGTTGCTAAGCTGCCCTAAGCCTCTGCAGCGCCAGTTTGATCACTGGCCGCCGGCGAGGGTCCCACATGGCGCGCAGACCTCTCCTGCCGCCCGCTGCTCCCCTCAGCAGTGTACTTCGGTCCTTCTGCCTGCTCTGCTCCCCGCTCTGGCTCTGGTGAATTCTCTCATCCTCCCACGCTTCTGACTGTACCCAGTGCGGAAAGGGAAAGGAAAGGGAAAGGAAAGAGAAGGAAGGAAGAAAGGAAGAAAGGAAGGAAGGAAGGAAGGAAGGAAGGAAGGAAGGAAAGGAAGGAAGGAAGGAAGGAAGGGAGGGAGGGAGGGAGGGAGGGAGAAAGCAAGCAAGGAAGGAAGGAAGGAAGGAAAAGAAAAAGAAAAACACCGGATGGTCTCACTCATAGCAGGAATCTAGAAAACCCAAATAAGGGACCAGGAAAAAGACTAATTATAATAAAGTAAGAAGCAAAATCAACAGGCAACTATAAGCCAGAGACACACTGGGGTGGGGGGAGAGAAGGGATAGGATCCAAACAAGGGGGTGGAAATTTTACGGGGACTATAACCAAGATGCATACATTGTGCAAAGATGAAAATGATGTAAAAATATATACAATAAGAAAAATTTAAAAACCTTCAATTTAAGCCAAAAAAAAAACCTCACAATTGCTTTCCAACGAGGCACCCAGAGCCACCCCTACCCTGCGGTGAATCCCCCGACAGGGGACCCCCCAGGCCGCAGAGGCCGGAGCTGCCCTTCTGAGGCCCCAGCCGGCAGGGCCTGGCAAGGGGGGGCGGGACTGGCTGAAGGAGAGGGAGCAGATCCGAGCACCCCCAAGGGAAGGGCCCCGCAGCCACCACCCCGGCCTCCTGGACACGCTGACCCACCCCGTGACCCCAGAGGCAGGTGGGGGACACCAGCGCCCCCGCCAGAGCCCCCCCCTGCCTGCCCTGAACCCCAACGCTGGGGGCCCTGGTCCAGCCCCCGCCTCTCCGCGGCTCCCCCACCAGAGGCTGCTCCGGCTCGGGGTGACCCTGCGCTGCGGCCCGGGGCGGTGCGGGGGGGTGGGGGGGCCCGAGTCCCCTCCGTCCCCCCGCCCTGCTGCTGCTGCGGGGCGTCCTTGGCAGCCCCAGCCCCGCGGCCTGGGTGGGACAGGCGCCTCCCTCTGCGCCACTTGGGGCGGGGAGCCGGGCTGGGGGGTGCTCAGACCTTCTGGGTCAGCCGCTGGGGGCCCCACCTGTCCTGCTGCTTCCCGCGGCCTGCTCGGCGCTCCTCGCTGCGGCTTCTCTGGGGGCTCCCTGCCCACTGGCTGTGCAGTAACCCGCAGGCGCTGGGGGGCTGGGGGGACGCAGCAGCTGCCCTCCTTTACCACAGGCGGGGCACACTGGACCACCCCAGGCCTGCACCCCAGCTCTGCTGTCTAAGGGGAGCTGTTCTGGGCATGGCTGGGGTCGCCCCCATCCCTGGGCTCCCCGGGAAGGTTGCGGCTCCTCACTCTCCATCCAGTCCTGACACCCACAGATGTCTCCAAACATGGTCAGCCACCCCTGGTCTAATTGAAAGGGTGTCCCTCACCAGATGGGGTGCCGGCACTCGCATGGGGTCCCACAGGACAACACGGGAGCCAAGCACATGGGCGTGAATGTGTGTGTGAGCTGCCGGCGGCCATGGCTCTCCTGACTAGAAACACTCTGTGACCCTCAGTGACCAGTCCCCGCGGCTGCCGTTCCCAGGCGTCTTGTTCAGCATTTAGAACATAAAACACACTCCTTTCTGGAACAGAAAGTAGAACTCGGATAGATTATCAATAAATGATGGGGGCGCTCAGCCTCCAGGCACCGCCTGGGGGGTGGCCACGACCAAGCGGCCGTGCACCCCAGCTGTGCTCCCCAGCTGTGCCCGGCGACTCCAGGTTCCCAAGGACAGAGGTCGAAGTGCTTCATATTTTAGCAGCAGTGTGGGATGCAGCTTATTCTGTCCATTAACTAATATCTGATGCACCTGCCACAGGACCCAGCGACCCCACTCCTAGGACACAGACACACTGATCTGAAGGAAACCTGTGCCTGGATGTTCACTGCGGCACCTTGAATAAGAGCCGAGTTATGGAAACTCCTCAAATGCCCCCAAACAGATGAACGGATCAAAATGTGGACTCTACACGCCATGGAATACTACTCAGCCATCAAAAAGATAAACTCATGCCACTCATAGCATCATAGATGGAGCGGGAAGGGATGGTGCTCAGTGAGATACATCAGAAGGAAAGACATAAACATCAGATGGTTTCATTTACAGGTGGAATGTAGGGAAACTGAATAAAAGATCAGGAAAAAACACAAAACTGGGAGGCACCCATAGGTCTGAGGCACACGACAGTGGAGAGGGAGGGGGTCAAAACAGGAGAGGGAAGGTCACAAGGGACCCCCCCAGTAACCGCCCCCAGCTTTGGGCAGCGCCTGCGAGTCCTCTCTGCAAGTCCCCCCTCCAGGGGCTGTGGGGGGAGAGGACACGCCTGACCTGCCCTCAGGCTCCTGAGTTCTGGGGCCTTGCTGCCGGGGTCTCCACCGCCTTAGGTGTCTGTCCTGGAAGGACCTGCTGGAACAACATGCCTGAGCCACGAGGGGTCTCTGTCCCCCTCTCCACCCCTTTCAGTCCTTCCCACGCTGCAGAGTGATGCCCAGACCCACTGGGGGGACATCCCCCAGGGCAAACACCTGCCCAAGATGGAGGTTTCTGCACGAAAGTCTCCAGCTCACCAGAGGTCCACGGGAACATGGAAGGGGAGACCCCAGCAGGCTGCACCTCCATGCACCCCTCTACCTGCAAGGGAGCAGAATACGCCCCCCATCCCATGCCGCTGTGGCCCAAGATTCAGTGCAGGACATGCCCTTGACAAAAAGCTGGGTCAAGAACACTGACCCCTACCCCCCGCCCCCAAAGCAGGAGCTGAATCTCCCCCTGCCCAGGGCTGCCCCAGGGTGGGGGGGGAGCTCACAGGGGTCTGCGGGTCCATCTCCCCTGCCGGGGCCGGCGCCTCAACCTCTCCCGGCTGCTGTCCCCCCAGAGGCTCCCCTGGCCCAAGGGCGGTGCCCACTGTGGTCCGAGGACCCCCGAAACCTGCTCGTGTCTCCCTGGAGAGATGTGTGTGGGGACGGGACACCTGACGCCACCCACTATTAAAAATTCCTCCCCGTTTCTCCGTGCGCGTCCCAGTTTGGGGGGCGGGCTCCCCCGACTCACCAGCAGTTTCCTTCCCACAGGATGTTCCCGAGGCCGCAGGACGGCGAACAGCGTCTGAAAGATGAGAACGATTTGCATTTTCCCAGTAAAGAAGTCGCCGAGCAGATCTCGGGACCAGGCTCCGGCCCACTGGACGCAGGTCCCCCTCGCCTGGCTGCCCCCGAGGCGGCGAGCCCCGGCCGGGGGGCTCCAAGGCGGACCCTGACTTGCCAGGGCCCCCGCCCCGGCTCTGGCGAGAACTGCTTCTGAGCCGCAGACGGGGAGACAGCAGGAAGGAGGGGGCCAAGGCCAAAGTCGGAACATGTCTTTAAAAATCGTTTTATGATGGAAAAACTTTTTCACCCGTGTGTGAAAGTCTGGAGAGTACAGACATATTGAAAGGGAAATCAAGGCCCCCCACAATCACAGGGAAACGCGCCGTTTTGTGTCCCGTTTTTATGCCTTTTTTGTTTTGTGTCCCGCGGACACGAATGTATTTGCAAAAGCGACGAAGGACTCGGAGCAGCTGCGGCCCGTTCCAGAGGCGGCACGTGGACCCCGGAGGCCACCGGGCGCGGGCAGTGCGGGCTCAGGGGGACCAGGCAGGAACCTCCATCCCTGTGGACTTTCTGATCATTCTCACGGCACATACCCTGGGAGAGACAACTCAGTCTATTTCATTACTCTTCAGAACATGCTTCTCTGTGGAAGATGAGTTTGCTTGTTTGTTCACACTTCCCCACTCCATGTTCAAAACGTATACATGGATATGCGTGTGTGTATATATATATTCCGGTTATATATAAAACCCGGCAACCTTTGATACTCAATTCTTGTATAGGTTATGCATTTCCTGTCTCCAGAAACAAAAAATAATAAGCAATATAGCTGCTCACCACCTTAACTTTGTGAGAAAGGATAATTTCATTTTATTGTCAAAATGGATTATGGTTACATACTTCCAATTCACGAAAAATAACCTTCTTTCTGAAAAATGTTTCTAAGTTTTCTCTCTATAGTAATACATATAAGAGAGAGGTGCTGGACTACCGAAATGATTTCAAATGAAAAAGGGATGGATGTGTGCCTGGATCTCCACATTTCATCCTTTGTAAACCCAGATGTCATGAAAGGTGAGAACAATTCCCTGACCTTGAATTGCATGTCCGCTTTGAGAAAATAACTTTTATTCTGACATTTAATATAGTTGATTCCTATTGTACTGTACTTACATTAAAGAGAAATTATATATTTAAAACAAAAGAATGAAAACATTTTCATAATGTCTAAAAGTTGTATATCTTCTTCAAAGTAGAATAAATGAGTAAATTAGTCAGTCAGGACTGGTCATTAGCTTCCACCTTGTCTTAACATTTATTTCTCACTGCTTTTTGTTTGATTTTAAGAAATAAATAGAACACATAAAACTCTGTTGATATCCACTTTATCTGAAAAATACAAGCTATAAGAGAACAGAAAGCAGCCCTGGTCAAGGACACAGACCTTGTAACAAAATATATCCATGAAAAAAGTTCTAAAGAAGAGAAAGTCATTTTCAGAGGGCCCCACAACTGGACAGAGCACGCTTTGATCTTATGGGAACCGTATGCAAATCTTATTAGACAAGCACAGAAATGATCATTCCAGAAGAGTTTCCCTGTGTGTTGACTTTCTTTTCACCCCAATTTATTCTCTCAAAACACAAGACATTCCAAGAATGAAATACAATATGAATAATATCAACCCTGAGATCACCCATTAGCAATTTCTGTAACAAAAATTAAAAATCACACATCTAAGCAGGAAGAAGAATATATGCAATTCCAATCACAATTAAGAATTAAGTACACAGAGAACTGCATTTCTTCACAAATGAGCAAAGGGAAAGAAAAACACGGCAACAAGATGAATTTTTTTTATACAAGAGCCGGGGTACAGGTCAGAGGTGCGGGAGGGTGAGAGGATTCACCAGAGGCAGAGCAGGGAGCAGAACAGGCAGACGACAGAAACACTCTGCTGAGGGGAGCAGCAGGCATGACAGGAGAGGTCTACCGCACCATCTGGGACCTGGCCGGATGGCTGGGATCGAACCCACACTGTGGAGGCTGCAGACAGCCCCACAGCACAGCGCTCAACCTGCTGTGCCACCGGGGAAGCCCAACAAGATGAATTTTACACAGTTCTCTTTCAAGTATAATAGCAAAAAAAAAAAAAAGGAAAACAGGAAATGTTAGGCAGTATAGAGATGAATGATGTGTGATGGATGATTTTCAAGAGAAACAAAATGAAATTGCAGGCTAAAACAACCCACTCTCTCAGAAATTTTCCAAAACTACTCTTTTGAAACAGGAGTGATAAAGTCATAGAAAGTGATGCAACGTTAATTTATGAACAGAATGAAGATGTGTATGCTATTGTACAACTGAGAAACACAATCAGGAGGAGAAAACAACAGAATTAAAATATCGAGATGAGTCAGAGATTGAGAATCTGTTTGATAAAAATCTCCTACTGTTTTGAGGAAAAAATACAAATTAACTAAAGACATAAAACGAAATTGTAATTAGGGAACATAACAAATGGAAAATCAATGTGAAAACTGTTGTTGTGCCTGTACAAGAGAAGAAAAACAAAAAGCAAAGTGAAAGTCTCCCTGGTGGCGTAAGGCGTTAAGCACCACATTGTGAAGCAATCCTCAGCCTCTGCAGGATGAGTTCAATCCCCAGGCTGGCCAGGGTGAAACCCACATGGCGCAGCAGACCTCTCCTGTCTCGCCTCAGCAGTGTATTTCAGTCAGCCTTCCTGTTCTGCTCTGTTCTGTTCCCCACTCTGTCTCTGGTGAATCCTCTCACTCCCCCGCACCTCTGGCCTGTACCCCAGCTCTTGTATTCATAAATAAATAAATCTTTTTAAAAAAAAAAGCAAAGTAAAAACACTGGATAGATGATTGATTGATTGATTGATTGATGATAGATAGTGGAGGGATGGATAGTTAGATCGACTGATCACAGGTCGATTGATCAACAGAGTAGAGACATAGAGAGATAAATTTGGTAGAGTTTAGAAAAAAATCTTCCGAATTTCCAGAGTTCAGAAAATTTTGTTCAATTGTAAAGCAATACATAAAGTCACACTTTCTTGGAAATATTAGAAGTGAAAGGAACAGGTTCTGCAGATTTCTGAATAAGGAAAGATTGAGATTGATTATATTAAAGCAAGTTATTATTCAAGACTAAAGAAGAGGAAAAAAGTACAATTTTAAACATTAAGTGGAAATTTGGGCCTCCCCGGTGGCGCAGCAGTTGAGCACTGGGTTGTGAAGCTGCCGCAGCTCTGCAGCGCCATTTTGATCCCCGGCTACCGGAGGAGGGTCCCACATGGCGCGCAGACCTCTCCTGCCACCTGCTGCTCCCCTCAGCAGTGTAGTTGGGTCCTTCTGCCTGCTCTGCTCCCCGCTCTGGCTCTGGTGAATTCTCTCACCCTCCAGTGCTTCTGACTGTACCCAGTGCTTGTATAAATAAATAAAAATTAAAAAAAGAAAGACAGAAATCTACACAATGCTTATTTAAAAAAAACATTAAGTGGAAATTTAACATTATCTAAAGATTGGTACATCCCAATAATGATAATAGAATTGGTGAAGCAATTTAGAGTACAATACATTTAGAAATAGAACAATTTTTAAATAATGTACAATGTTTTGCTTTCAAAACTGAATTTTTACTAAAAATAATGATTCAACTAACATTACGGGCTAAAAGTAAAGTTCAAGACTTTGCTAAAAAAAAGAAACCAAGAAAGATTTAGATGGGTTTGGAGATTGAAGAGGGGTTAGAAAGCCATGGGGTGTCTTTTTCCTATTTCCTTTAAAAATGCCATTGTTGGGCCTCCCCTGGTGGTGCAGGCAGTTGAGCGTCTCACTGTGAAGCTGTCTGCAGCCTCTGCAGCACCAGTTCGATTCCAGCCGGCTGGTGAGGGTCTCACAAGATTTAAATAAATCTTTTTTAAAAATAATCTAAAAAGCACCAATTATTCAAAGCAATAAAGCACAGCAATGGTACCATGACCCCAAATGTCAACAGTAATGTCCAGTTTGGGGAGCAAAAGGATCAGAGTGTGGTGGCAGGGAGTACTGGCTACCTCACTGCAGACACATGGATTTACAGCCTGGGGAAGGATTTGACCAGAAGTCAAGTCATGTATGTTTCCTCTGTAGCTGTTCAATAGCATAATAAAAACTAAACTCCCTATTTTCTACTTACAACTGAGATTCAACCAATGATAGCTATAAGTTTTTGACATTTTTAAAAGACCACAATAAATTTTAAAGAGGCTGTGTGTATAGCCCAGTCCCTGGCAGACTGCAGGCACTTAGCTAACCTTTGTTCACTATCTTGAGTGTTCATAGTATTTTCTATCATGGAAAAGAATACACACCCTCCTGTGCTGACATAACTGTTGAAAAAAATAGTTATGTACAGATATCATCATTAAATTAAAGTCTACTTATCCAGATGTGGATACTTTATTAAAACCCAAAGGATCGTTTTCGTAAGTGTCTATAAAGGCACACCCCATCCTGCTTGCTTTGCTTCAGATACTGCTTTTCACAAATTTAAGGTGTGTGGCAACCTGGACTGGGGTAAGTCCAGCAGCACCATTTTCTAAAAAATATATGCTCACCTCATGTCTCGGCGATATCTAATTAGGGTATTTTCTTGTTAGACAAAATACTATTGCATACTTAATAGACTACACTATAGAGCAAACAATGTTCATTCACACCAGGAAACCAACAAAAAAGTAATGCCTTGATTTATGCAATATTAGTTTTGTTGTGGTATTCTGGAAATGAACCAACAATATCTCCAAGGTGTACCTGTACCACCTTTTATTTGGTGCAGTGTAAGTACACCTATTAAAGCAAATAAATTCATTTTGCTAAGTCTGCTGTTTGGAGCTGGCCCTATGCCCACTATGGCAAACCTAATAAAGACAGATGATCACAGTCTGTGCTTGGATAGAGAAACGCTTGTCACAAAATGCTTAAGAACATGTATCATGATGATATAGACCTTTTTTTTATCTCCAGAGAATTGTTTTGTATTTTGTTTATATCCAAAGGACAATTTAAAACTGAAGGTCAGTACAGGACAGTGCACAGACACCAGCAGGCAGGAAGAGCTGTAAACGCAAAAGGTTTGTGCAAAGAAACACCTGCACAGTCAGAGGCAGAGGGAGAGCTGCCTCACTCTCCAGGGCATTTTGTTAAAGTAGGACATACATCTTCACACTCAACTTCACATTCGGTTCATTGTAATGACAAAAATAATTAAGATCATTTCAGAGAATGGATGTGTGCTCTTCGATACTGAAAGAGAATTACTAAGAGTGATATGCAAGAATCTAAACTTTAGAACTATGTAAATAATCTTTTTTAAATCTAATCACAAAATGACACAAATTCACTGAGAAACTTGTCAACAGAGGAAGCATGAATAACCAAACAATCACCATGAATACCAACATCATGAGGACACCAGTCACTGCTTCCAGTATGTTTCCCAATTGTATAGATGAGATAGATCAAATCCATAACAATTAAAGGGGGGAGGTCTTATCCTGAATAATACTGCAGGCACTGCTGAGGCATCCCTGTCTTATCGATTGTTCTAGATCTCCAGGAATTCCGTCTGGTAGGTACAGCAGCTAGCCTGCTGTATGGGAATCGTTACAGAAAAGGCTATTTTGAAATGCAGTTTCTTACAAGTAGCAACCACAATTGGGACAGAGCTATTTCTAAAACTATTAAGGAAATCGTGTGCAACATTAAAGACAGCATCTGCATGTAACGCAGTGATACATTAAACTTTTATTTTAACCTGAGGCTCTTTCCTTATGAAGGAGGAAGCCTCCTGAGGATGGACAGGGTCGCGCCCACTCCTCCCCTCCCCCTGGCCTTGAGGGGGTTTACAGTTTAGCCTCATTTGACAAACTCTGATTCGGCCAAAAATATGGAGTCCAAAAATCCCTGACCTTTGTCCTTATTTGTATGATCTTAACACAAGTTCCTTGTCTCTTTTGGACCTTAGGATTCTCAACTACGGAGTAGAAACTATGTCTCTAAGGTATCATCAGTGAGATCACATAACTTAAGTGAAGAACTTGTTGCACGGAGTCAGGTAATCTCCAGCAGGTGCTCAATAAACATGGATTTCTTTCCCCTCCCCTGACCTGTTCAACTTCTCTCCAAAGCAAGCATAAAAGGATTTATGATGAAGGAGGTAATATCAGTTTAACAGATTATAAATATTAAACAGTAGAGTATCTACAAAATGTCCACTTCCCAAGGGAATGAGTGATTGTGGCTTATTCACACTCTGAAACAGGAGGGATCCTCGCAGGGCCAGGTATCAGGAGAGAACAGGCCCCAAGAGCTTTGAAATGGGCCCTTCAGTGTCTCAGATGATTCCCCATGAAAGATCTTCCGTCCCCATTGGTGATAGCGCCCAGCTGTCCCTGCTGTGGAAATCTCAGGGTGACGTTTAGTGATACAGAGATGGCCACAGGTTTCAATACACTGAATCGGTGAACACAAACCCATTTTTGAAAACCAAATATTGTAGCCAGAGTGTGGCAGCTGTGTGGCTCTTGGTCACTCAAGGCTCAGGACAGCCTGGTTCTAGTCAAGGGGAGTCTAAAGTCGCCTCATGGGGCAGTTTCTAGGTGTCAAAGTTCCCTCTTCCAGACTCTGAATGGCCACATCACCTGCACGACAGGTAGTGACGCCTCAGCCCCCAGACGTGGGTCCAGGCCCAGCACGGGCAGCATCTCAGACCCCGTGAGAAATGCGGAGCCCCAGGCACCACGCAACCCACTGGGTCAGAACCTGCACCCCGGGAGACTGGGATTCGACTCTGCCCTCCTGCTGCCAGACCTGGCGTGGGGAGGGGGACGGCAGCCCCAGAAAAGTTTACAATACATTCCCCAGATTATATTCTAGGCCACAGAAATAAAACACACAGATCAACGGAACAGAACGGGGAGCCCAGAAAACCCATCCAGGGGTGATCAGTGCAGCAGGGAGGAGCTGCGAGCAAACACGGGGACGCGCTCTCATTCAGGGGCGCAGGCACCCCCAGGTCACACTCAGGAAGGTCCTGACCCCCATGTTCCTCCAGGACCCGAAATGGCCCGCGCAGACTCCCCACAGCCCGCCCGCCCGGCCCGGGTCCCCCGACTCACCGCTCTGCAGGCACCCCCGGCGGGGAGACGTCCTCGCCCCCCCTCGCTCTGGGGCGGCTCCTGACGAAACCGGGTCCCGCGGGCAAGGACTTCACCCCACGTCCGGAGAAGCCGGTGCCAAGGCGAGCCCGGCCCGGGGAGGCAGGAGCCAGTGTTGGGGCGGGGCGGGGCAGGGGCGGGGTTGCGGGGGGCGGGGGTGTAGGGGGCCCCTCCAGGCCCGGGGGCAAGCGGGTCGGCCCCGGGGTGCTCACGGGGCGCCCCCGCCCGTCCTGCTGCGCTGAAGTTTAGAAAATCAAGCGGACGCGGAGGCGAAGAGCCCACGTCTCTGAACATGCTGTGAACCTAGAGTTTCCGCAGCCAGTAAAACAGCAGATCGTGTCCACGTGCATCACAGACACGCGGGGGACACGGACCCGGGCCACAGGGGGCCCCGAGCCCGCCGCCCCCCACAGTGAGAGAAGGGGCGGCCCGGCCTCGCCCCGCCCCAGCCTCGCCCCCGCCCCGGCCTCGCCCCCGCCCCGGCGTCTCCTCCTGATTCCCCGCGAGGCCGCATCTCCCCGCCTCACCACCAGGCGGCGCGCGCTCCCCCCTCCTGTGCTTTGCCACGCCCGGGGCTTCTCCTTCCTCACCCTGCGGGCCCGCTCCGCCGGGCGGGTGCTCCCGGTTATCGCGTCACCGCCACTTCAGCTTCCGCCGCCGCTCTCGCGTAGGCACACAGTGCCGTGACGTCAACACGCAGGGGGCGGGGCAAGGCCAAGGAAGGAGAGACTCGCGGAGGAAACCAGGGGCGGAGCAGCGGCGCGCGCCGCCTGGTGGCGCGGAGGGGCGGTGCGGCCGAGGCGGGACACGGGCGGGCAGAGAAGGTGCTGGGGTGGCGGGAGGCGCAGGGGGGATGGAGCCGCAGCCGAGGGGCGGGTAGGCTGGCCTAAGGGGGACGCAGCTGGGAGAGTAGTGGAGGGGGGCGTGTGCAGATGGGGAGCAAGAAGCGGGAGTGTGTGACGTCAGAGCCCTGAAGATGGGGAGACAGAATGACGTAGAGGCAAGAACCCGCTGAAATGGGGGTTCTCGCGCATTCGGGGAAGAGAACAAGGTGGTGTCGCGCTTCTGGACTGAGCTGCCAGCATTTGGGATGTTACACATGTGTGCGTGTCTGCATTAAAAGGAGTGACCTCAGGAGACGCTTACACACACACACACACACACACACACACACACACACACACACACATCTGGCGCTAGGAATGCCCCCATGCCCCACGGCACCAGAAACACCCTGGACCCTCAACCCCCTGGACATCACTATCTCAAGTGCCTGGAAACCTCTCTCTTCTGCAGGAGTCTAAGGACACTTTCACTTCTTTGTTGCGAAGACTATAAATGAGGGGATTCAGCATGGGGGTCACGATAGTGTAAAACACGGAAGCCACCTGGTCCCTTCCCAAGGGGTAGGATGTTCTTGGTCTTAAGTAACTGAAGATCATGATGCTATAAAAGATGGTGACTGCCACCACATGCAAGCCACAGGTGGAGAAGGCTTTTCTCCTTCCTGAAGTGGATTTAATTTTCAGGATGGCAGAGAGAATGGACACATAGGAAAATGATACTGTGATTAGAGACCCCAGAATGGTGCAGTCAGCAAAAAAGAAATATCATGATTTCAATGTCCTGGGTTTCAGTGCAAGACAGGGCTATAAGAGGGAATGTATCACAGAAAAAAATGAGGGATTTCATTGGAGTTACAGAAGGTCAATTTCCTCATGCTAAACAGAGAGACTAAACAGTCTGTGACACCTATCAAATAGGGCCCGAACATTAGGGACCAGCAGCGTCTTGTGGACATAACAACAGGGTAGTGGAGAGGATTGCAGATGGCTACATAGCGATCATAGGCCATGGAGGAGAGAAGAATACATTCAGCAGCAACAAAGAATACAAAAATGTACTGTTGAGTGAAGCAAGTCATGTATGAAATCTGACCTCTTGTTGGAGGTCAGTAAGTTCTATAAGGTTGTAGGTGAGATGATAGATGAGTAACTGAGGTCAATGAAAGACAGGTGACTGAGGAAAAAATACATGGGGGTGTGAAGCTGGGCATCAAGGCGGATGAGCAGTATCACCCCTGCATTCCCCAGCATAGTGACCAGGTATATCAGGAGAAAGAGCACACAGAGCACCAGCTGGATGTCTTCAGCATTTGTAAATTCCAAAAGGATGAAGTAAGGCACATATGTATTATTTCTTCTATGTGTTGTTCTCCACTGCTTTTACCTGTTGAGAAGTCAAATTCTATACTTAGTGGATATAACATCAAAAGGTTAGGTTTTTATGAATGCTGTGTCTGTATATAGTTAAATATTTAGTGGTTGAAAACAATGTGTGGTTTACAGAATAAGGTGAAGAAATTGAATTTGATTGTCATATATAGAAATGGGTAAAAGTTAATTATTATTGATGATGTAATAAATCCAGATATATTGCTTAATTGGTATGAAGCTGACACTGTTCTAAGTGTTTCTCTTTTTTTTCATGTTTTTATTTCAAATAAAATATACCATTGGTGTGACTGTTAGCCATCTTTTTTTAGATGAGGAAGAGGACAGTTAATAAATTTATCCTTAGTGAAAGCTATTAAATGATCATGCTCTAAGTATACAAGATAAACTAAGTATAGAGAGCTTATAAAATACAATATTCCTCATTAAAATTAATTTCACCAAGGTTGTAAAAAATTATATGTATGTATATAAGCCAATAAAGTATGGTTTTATGGCATAAATCTAATCTTTTTTATTTCTAAAAATGTTTATGTTAATGACAACATCAAATTAAAAGAACTTCAATATGGTATATTAGAGTTTTTAATATGTGCTGAAATCAGTACAAAATTCCAGAAGATAAAATGTTTTCATAAATTGACCTTTTAAAATCAAATTTCTGCAAAATTGTTTCCGAAATTTTGTAGTCACTGAATTTTACCCTGATTCCATTCACTCTCTATTTCCATTTCCAGAAGAACTTGCCTCATTTCGAGAAATTCTAAATGACATGTGTGTGCATGCCCTTCAGGACTCTTGCCATTTTATTTGATTCTAAATAAAACTCTTAATTTTGAACGTAATACTTACTGTGAGCCAATGTCAGTAGAAAGAAAAAAAAAAGCTTCTCCAAAATGATCTATCTAGAAATTTGTCAACCTCAAATTTTTCTCAGAGTAAAATATGAAATACATCTGAGTCAAAAATTTCTGTAATATATATTTTCTTTGTGATAAGGTCTTTTTCAATTTTTGTGCATTCATATTTTTTAATTCTGATGCAAAATAAATTAACCTAGTAATTTTGTTAAGATTCTGGTCAAGTGGAAATTTGCCTGGTGTGATGTCTATAAAGAATATATCTGGGAGTTCTGAGAATCTCAGACAGAGCTGCTTTGTCTCTCATCCTTATATTTCTGGGCACCTGATATAGTGGGGATGATGATAATGCAAACTTTGGTCATCCTTGTGAGACTAATTCCTAAGAGAAGAGTTTGGCCTGTTCCCAAGGAAAAAAGTTCAAGAACTCATACAACTATGTTAAGTATTCAGACACAGTTGATTCTCCTTGAAACCACATAATGAAGAGTCTGCTTTGGTCTTGTTTTGCAGAACTCTAAATTTTTGATTGGGGAGATGAACAAAGATTTTCTAGATATTCAACCATCTATTTTGAAGGCATCAGAGATGAAATGATTTATTTTCCACAGTGAAATATTTATATATTTTATGAGACCATACTTTCATTTCAAATAGTGTATGGACAGTAGGTTTACTATAAAAAGTATATTTTTCACTTTCACCATTACAATGAAATAAATACGGAATTAAGCTCCTTGTCTCATAATCAAAAAGGCTTTTAAAAACTTTGTTGTAGCATCTCTTTTTATATTTGGTAGGCACTTTCATATAAAGATCGTAGCCACGCCTCTACCTAAGCAGTTCCCACACATACAGGAAAACACTATCATTCTCTGTTCTTCCTCCATTCACTCTGATATATACACCTGCACACACATGTGAACACATGTGCACATATGCACTGACACTGAGTGTGTTACTTGTTAGGTTTGCTATAGCCAAATGTAAAAGGTTTGCTATAACCAAATGTAAAACTTGTGAAACATTCACAAGTTATTTCTCACTGTTCTGTAATCCAGAGCCTGACATCCAGTTGGCATTAGGGCTGATTTTGGTGAGAGGCCCTCTCCCTTCATCTCGATAGATGTCTTTTCTTCTAGCTTCCTGTGTCTATTACCCTCCTTGTTTCTGTGCTGTGATCCTTTCTTCCATGACACCAGTCCATTGGACTAGGGTATACTCGCAATACTTAGTTTTAAATAATTACCAGTAAAACGATCTTATCACTAAAGCTACATACAGAAGTACCAGGAGTGATGTCTTCAACATATGAGCATTGATATATATAAATATATATTTACATATTTACCCAAATCTATATTTATGTATATGGAAAGAAGGGTAAACATGCACTTTGTAGGCTGTCACATATAGTTTTAAATGTATAGTATTAACCTTAATATCCATATTACTTAAATTGAGTAGCCCCCAATAGTTACAGGTAAAATTATTTTATAATTTCATTTGCCTAGTTTGGCAATTAACAAGTAATCAATGCAAAATTACATTGCATATTTCCGTACAATTTTCTATGAATTCATTGTCACTCTACTCCGTCCTCTGGTTTATGCATTGGCCTGAATCTAAACAGAGCTTGTTGTTCAGGGACCACAGATCCAAATTCCTGAGGTCAACACCATGCTGGTTTTTTTTTCCTATTTTATTTTCTCATCCAGACCATAAGCAAAAAATTCATTCCTTATTTTACTGGGCACATATGAACTAGACACATGAATTTATTAAAACTACACTTAAATTCAAGAATGACAAGAGACAAACAACATTCAAGGCTAAGCTACAACAGGATGGTCAATTTGTGTTTTCCCAGAGCTGAACCCCCGCCCATGTGTATGGGTCTCCCTGATGAGCTGGTCCTCTCTCAGCTTTACCCGGGATTCCTTTGACCTTGTGATGCCCTGGCAGAGCCCACAACTCCTCTGCATTCAGGCCAAGAACCAAGGAAGAAAAAGCAGCCTACTAAGTAAATGTTTACTCTTCCTTCCTCAAACTGCATTTTCATTGCATAAGTGTATGAGCACAAAATTATTTTGAAGTGGTAGTGGTCTTCCTTTCTTCTTCCCATATTTTCATTATATTTAATATCATTGTTGCTATAAATTTTATTCTGTGAAAACTGTTTAGATGCCAACGGAAAAGTCTCTTTAAAACACAATACAGTAATCTAAAGGGATGTCCCTAAATGTGAATGTTGAAACTAAATAAAATTCCAACACTGCTAAGACGAGCATCTATTTCCCAATATATCGCCTGTAATTTTTCTGCATTTTTTATTCAGAATCCTATTTACAATTATATTCACATGATTCCTTCTTTGAATATTTCCCTTTGTGAGACATCTTAGACTATGACCATTGCAATTCACTTCCTTTACAGCTCCTCATGTCTTCTTTCTTAAATGCACCTATTGCAAATATCACTACTTTACATATTATGCACTTTAATTTCCTTAACTCATATTTGACTTATTTTTAAT